ATAGCTTTGTTTTTCGTTTGTTTTTATTTGCTTAGCTTTTCACACTTATGTATACAATATGTATTTTGTACATAATTCAAAGCTTTTGTGTAGCAACAACAACAATTACTATGATTACTAATTGTGGTATTGTTTATAACTGATATTAAAAATAATTTACAGTTTGGTTAATTAGATTGAAAGTTATTTTTATCCTCACTTGATAAACCATTAGATTTAAAACTAAACGCTGATATGAAGCCCATTTTTGTTTTTAACCTTTCATCAGGTTATATATACATCAAATACAGCTCGGTGATAATAGTCGCTTAATAAACAAACGTTCTCTTAGAAGGCAAATATATACGAGAAGTAGGGCAGGGGATTTCAATTAAAAGTCTATAAATCGGCCGTACGTGATAGTGGATAGGAATCAAATCTTGGCCGGGTGCGGTTTCTGAGATGGTGCAATAACCCAAGTGTTTTCTTTGACCTTTGCAAACAGCCCAGAGCTGTCGACTCTGAGGCAATTTATTACCACGGCTTTTGTTTGCCCCCAGACACAACAACCGCCGGTAATAGTTCCTTCGGTTCAATATTTGTTCTCCAAATTTCCCTTTTTCATCGTCCCACCGACAGGTGAAGAAGGGACTCGGGCCTAATGCTAATTGAGCCGTTCCTCAGACTTTTCCAAAATTCTCGAGTCGAGTTGTAAGCAAGTGTCGAGGGGAGAGAAGTTTGAAACATTGAAGTTTAAGGCAACTTGGATGAATTCCTTAATGAAAACTTTGCTTGCATGAAATGTCTTTTCTCTTTTGTATGACTTTAACCGTAAGGTTGTATAACATTCATCATTCACGTTCGGGTTTGGGGTTGTAATAAATGGACAAATAAGGCCCTCCTTGAATGCCAAACTTTACAAATATACAGACTGGCGTTTTTGTTCTTCGTATATTAATTGTGGGAAAAGGATTGAATTTCTTGAGCACCCACCCCTCCATCACCCTATTGATCTCACTTTTAAAATATTCAATCTTAAGACTTGACAAACTCTATTATATTTCTCTTGGCGTATTAACAATTATTCATAAATTATTCAACAAATCAATATCTTTATTATTCGTTTATTCACCTTGTTCTTTCCACAGACTAAACCTAATTTTTTTATTACTTTCCATACCAACCTGTAACTTTAATTTTAATACACGGTTGCTTGCTATTTTTGTTATATTATTTCAAGCTCTTTTCTTAGTAAAGACATTTTAAATTCTGGCTTTCAAACTAAATTTACCATGTCATTATTTTTATTATATTATTCAACGTGTTGTTTAATTATATGTGCAATATTTTTCCGTGTTTAATTACCTTTAACATATTTGCTTGTGCAGGTATAACATTTTTAAAATTTAAAATGTAAAATGCGACAAACTTGAAAATATAACATCTTTAGACATTAAATCCATTATATTTAGTGGTCTATTGACCAAATTACTTCTTTCAATTAATTAAACTGTTTATGTAAGGTTTCGGTTGAGATTGTTTTTTTTTTAAAAGGGTTGAGATGGGAACGTGGTGTCCGAGTGGTTTGAGGTCACAATAGCTCTAGTGGTAGAGCAGCGGCGTATTTCGCCGAATGTCGTGGGTTCGAATCCCGCACATGGCACTAGCTTTTTCATTTCAACCGAAACCATACATAAAAAGTTTAATTAATTGAAAGAAGTAATTTGGTCATTAGACCACTGCATATAATGGATTTATATATTAAGTTATTCATGTAAAAAATAATCCCACTTAATCTTAAATTTTTAGTTATTCTTTATCATTAAACTTATACGGCTTTAGTGAATATTTTAGATGAACGAGTTTTTTATTAAACATTATAAGAACAATGAAAAACACCAGAGAAAAATCAATTTTGACTTTTAACCCACAAGAGAGTACATGGAAACGCTATTTCCTCATGGTCGCGATCCATTTTGATTAACAAGGGTTATGGACGCTAAGGATCATAGATTTTTATGCATCGTTTTTCGTTCTTATCAAAGAGATCAAGGGTTCTAAAAATCGAGACATTAAGAAAAATGTAATTGCAAAAAATATTTAAATGTAGTTTGTTGTTTTTGTTGTGCCTGTTTTTACGTAGGATGAAAGGCCATTTATTCGCTCCAAAGTCTGATGTGTCACAAAAACTCAATAACGTCTTTCGATTTTATTCAAATTCCAAGCTAATTCAACGGTTAGAAAGCTGAACGTATTTTCTTGGAGTTCGTACTAATTTTCTATTAACAACTTTGGCTTCTATGTTATTATAAGTAATGAAAAAATGAACAAAATTTCACTAAGACTTCTCCAATATTTTATATCGCTGATTTTTTTTCATTTACGGAGGCAAATGTTAGCCATTGGGTGTTCTTCTAAACCTCTGTAGAGTTTTCTGTGGATTGACTGTGCCATTTTAAGAGCAAAATCTTAGATTTTTAAATTAGTTAAAAGTTGTCCCTTTGGGATGCGAAAAACGAATATCAACCGGGTTTGGTGCTGAGAAATTATTTTAACCTAGGTGCTTTGGAAAAACACATGCAGCTATCTTCAATACAATAAAATATAGTACATATTACATATTTTGCACCAGTGACGTATTAACATATTTTTATATCGTATATCATTTTCTTATCCCGAGTAAAAAATCGATGAATAATAACTTTGAAATACAAGTAAAACAAAGACAAAAAGCCATTTAAGAACAAACTTTTTCTCAGCTCCTAGGGCCCTATAAAAAGAATGCTCGGCTATGTGTATAATATTTTTTCTATCTTGTATCACGAAAAAAGTTTCATTAAAATCAATCATCCCATTTACATTGCCTTCCCACGTAAGCCCAGTACGAAAAGAATTTATATGCTGTTTAGCTCTAGAAAATAATTTTGTGATTCTGTCGCTCAGGATTGGTTAATAATATATAATAGTAGTATTGCATAATTGCTATTAAATTGACATTAAAGATTAACATAAAGATAAACTAATATATCTAATATAAACTAATATAAACTAATATATATTCAAATATATCACTGTAATTAGGTGAAGGAAAAGTTCAATATATACATAATGTAGGAAATTTATGGCGCGAAAAAGAGTTGAGGTCATCGCCGGCCCAATTTTACTATCTTTTTCTAGTCTTCTACGGGTATTTTTTTTAACTAGAGCCATTTAAGCATCTCTATCTTCAAGACTCTCTGCTCTTCTAAGTATACTGTGTCGGCATCATAAAATGCTAGCCTCTCTTTTGTACTTCAGGTAGTCAATTACCAAATAGAAACGAAAAACATAAATTTCTTCTTTGTCTTTTTATCTAAGGACTTGTCTGAGATGGAAAAATTAGTTCCACGAGCGATTCGAACCCACGATCTTCGGCTAAATACGCCGCTCGAACCACTTGAGCTATCGCGAGTTCAATCCACTCGGACACAAACTCCTTATCTCAACATACAACCGTTCGAATTTTCCCACTTTTTACCATATTTACAAATGTCGTGTAATCAGGATTCGATTCTCAGAGACTTATGAAGTGACCAGGGGGAGCTGGTAGCGAAGTAATTATTTCTTTAACTATTATATTAATCCGTAACACCCACGACCTTCGGCTAATACGGCGCTGCTTTAACCACTTGAGCTATCGTGACTTCGAATCCCGTGGCACTAATTTTAACCAAGACGTTACATAAAATTAATAATTAATTGAAATGAATAATATGGTCTATTATCTCCGTTAAACATATATGAATTAATAAATCGATATACACACACATATGTGCGCATCTGAAGGCCCACCGGAGCACTGCGGCAGACGGGAAACCTTCCCCCAATCCGGAACCCGAGCGGTACGCCGCGGCAAGGCGATGCCCAGCAGGATGCCAGGATTCTATTTGAGTGTCTAGGCACCCCGACCAGGAACATTAAACCTCGGCACCCCGCCACCGATTGGCAGAAGAGAGCTCGGCCCAGGCCACGGCACAACATGGTCCTAAACGCCAAACATAGAAGTCTGGTCACATAACTACTCCAGAATAAACGAAATGCCCCGGGGTGTGATCGAACCCTCTCCATTCTCGCTAATAACTTACTCTTACTCTCTAGATGTCACATTACTCTAGAGTACTCCATATTCCTCGCGGTATGTAAATTAACATAAACAAAAACACGACACAACACTATATACAGTTACAACTTCAATCTCTACAGCTCTGAGTTATCGAGATCTGTGCCCACTACTGTGCCCCGGTATTGAGAAATTCAATAACATTCAATAAAACACTTAACAATATTCAATTTTCACAATTCAAACTTTTCTTTTTAACGAAGCAAAAGCCGAGTACTCGCAGTTAAAATATTTTGAAATAACTCAAAGCTGGAAGTTTGTCTCATTATCGCTCCTTCGGTCCTGATCGGAGTTTGAACAGTAGTGGAAGACCATTCAACTATAAACGAACGTTAAATACTAATCCCTGTTTAACTTGTACTGTACAAAGTTACCTGCGTCGTTTAAACTCACTTTATAAGAAACTTAGTAAATCGGCTAGATACAACTAGCCTTTAAAATGGCATTATTTTATCACCGTTGTCACTGGTTAAAACTCGCGTTGAATATTTTGACAAATTGTTTAAAATTAAAGCTGGTTAAAGTGATTTATTGTAATTTAGTTTGGAACTGCCGATGTGTCAAACTAATCACATAATTTACGACAGTTCTGGCCTCATGGACAATTTTAATCCTGACAGGAGATTAAGCGGACCCAAAGTCAATATTTAATGATTACATATAAATTGAGTTCATCAACTCCCATGTCAACCCTCTAACTAAAACACTTTGATAACATTAACATGAAGATGTAGTTTTAATACATTTGTTATTATGTTCAAGATTGCACTTGAAAGATACTTAAAAAATGAAAACATACAAATATAAATTTCATTTGGATATTTATTTATATTATCATGCTTTATTATAATAACGTACTTACCCGGCGTAAAGTATTGCTGGGCCTTTCAGGTTTGTAGTTCCCTCCCTCGGCGTAGCGTGGTGGGAACTGGAAAAAAAGATTGAACATCAGTCTAACCATTTGCCTCTGTTTACAAAGCAAAGTTGCTGTTTGCCCTCCGAATGTGTGAAACTCGACGATAGGAAATTAAATTCTGGACAAAGCTGCGCGCACCTGTTGTGAAAAGAGAAAGTTGATCCAACTTCCTCCCTGTGCTAATTGTCTTTCCGCCTGAACACTTTTTTCCGCGAATTCCGGTTTCGTCCCGTTTAATAATTGCCCCTTCGGGCGGAACGAGGATGAAGAGTAAATTTCGCAACTTTCAACTTTTTTGAATAAGTTTTTTAAAACGGGTAAATAAACACGTTTATAAATAACTCAATAAGAAAACTGTTCTATCGCTTTATTAGTTTGGTTATAGATAACATACAAATAGGATTCACAAACAAAATATATCAGTTTATTTTGTTTACATAGAAAACACAGAAAAAAATTTCTTTCTGAACGTGCTTTAATTGTTTCCTCGGATAAAGTGATAGAGAAATATCTGGTACAATATAGAGTTTCATAATTAAATAAATAGCAAAAATACACATTTTGAAAAACAACAAAACAGCAAAATGGTAATAAATATAACTGCTTTAAGTAAATGTGATAAAGGTTAAAATTTAAAATAAAACTTTGTTAATATGATAGCTCTTTATAATCATAATTGATGAATTGTGGGTAATGACATTAAAACCACATCGACCTACTTGATAAGTTTATTATTCAAAGTACGTAGAGAATCGATGAACTTGAATTCTATGCCTAGATTGTAAGGCCTCCAAACCGGGTGCTCATTGAAAAACAGAAATAAAGAGTAATAAAGCATGGATCTATGTCAATGCACATTAAACAGTGAATTTAGGAAAAAATGGTTAAACAATGACAATCTCACAGTAGAAGAAGCAATAGAATTTGCAATTGACAAAATTGGAGTAGGTGAAGAAAAAGTGCAAGTACAGATTACTATAAAAATTCTAGAACAATAGATGATGGTGACTGTATCGCTATGTACCAACAGCGGAGTGTCACTCTCTTCTCAATGTCCACCTTACCAAAACCTACAGTTCCATTTACTTACTTATCAATACTTCCCGATAACTTCGACATTGTATATCTCCTTTAACACCGATAGGCATATACTCCATGCCCTTCATCAGACCACAGTTCTATCCGGATAACTCTAGATACATTCTCTTTTCTTTTCATTACTTTCCTAAATGGATTGGGATAATAAGACACATTTAAAGACACCTGACGATATAGCATTATGTCACATCACAACTCACACCATTACTCAACAAAAAAATCCACAAAGCACAACTACTACCGTACCCCTCTTGAAAGCTACAAAATGTGACCTCATTACCCTTTCAAGCCATTGTTTCCTAACCATATTTTTTAATGTAACTCTCCTTAATATTTACTTATATTCTAAACTTTTCCAATTTGCACCAAATTCACACTATTGTGAATTCCTACCGCCCATTACCGACATCTTGGCGCATCCTTTAAAAAGTATTTTTGTAAGCAAATACATCCTTGAATCTTCTAATCCGTAACCATCAATTTGGAATTAGGCATCATTACACTATTGTTCAACAGTGTCTTCTTATTGAGGAGGTCATCGTGTTCTCCCTTAAGAAGACAGAACGTTGCTGGGGGGGGGGTCTTCCTCGATATCGAACTGGCATTGAAATTGAGTCTGGTATCTGGGAATACAATGCAAACCTGACACACTTCCTCATTCTGAAATCGTAACTGGTTAACAGGTACATTTGAGCAGGGGTTAACCTCCCTAAGGGTAACGGCCTCGGTCCGTTATTGCACATCCCGAAACCACTGCGCTTACTACATGATATCACTGCCATTCTATCGTTCAACTTCGACCCCGCTCACCGAACTCTCCAAACACAACTATAATTCCTGGGAAATTAGTTAAATAATCGCAAAAACAAATCAAACTCGACAACACAAAATCCCAAAATATGATCTACACCAGGGGTGCTCAAACTTGAACTGCTGGCGATCTACCTCAATATTTTTAGACTACTTACGATCGACTCTGAGAGGCTGCAAGTGTGTTATGCAGGGTTGTCGTACATACACGATACACCCTACCTACCTAGGTAGGGTGTACCGTAGCATATATAGATATTAGCTTTCTGCACAATATAGGTACATTATTTTAGTCAAGGTTTGGGTTAGGTTTAGTTACCGTTCTTCTCTACAATATCAATGAAAAAACTCATAGTTATTCAAAATTGCGAGTTTATTGGTTGTTACAAAACAAAAGAGTTACATATGGTGTTAAACTTAACTAAGGAGTGGCTTTGGATGTTGAAGCGTGGCACTGCATGTCCTCAGCATACTTTTCATAAGATGGTACGTAACCACTGAGTGCTAATCGCAAGCATGATGACATATGATCGTCAGTTAGTCGATTGCGATATTTTGACTTAATTATCTTCATTTCAGAAAATGCAGACTCGCACAAGTAAGTTGACCCAAAAAATGCCGTCAGTTGAAGGGCGATTTGCCTTACATTCGGATATTTATCTTCAGATATAAAACACCAGAAATTTGTATCAGATGCTGTAGCTTTGAGATGTATATCTGATATAATCTGCACCAACTCATTTTCAACAGAACATGAGTTCATATTAAACTGACTTGCTATTTCAGTAGCTAATTCCTCAATGTATTTACATGAAAAAGGATAACTCATAAATGATGCTATATTTTCCAATTTACTGCAATCATAAAAACGCATTTCGAATTGTCCCAAAATATTTGATAATTCAGCCTCATACGTATCATAATTCAACTGAGGAATCCTTGCTTTCAAAGACGGAAAATGTTTCAGATCCTTTCTTTTCAGTTGATCTATCATAAGTTGCAATTTACTTTTGAATGCGTTTACTGCGCTAATCATCTCAATAATAGTTTTTCCTTTACCTTGAAGCTCCAAGTTAACGGTGTTTAAGTGCATTGTGATGTCAGTCAAAAATGCCAAATCAGTCAGCCATTTTTCGTTTTTCAAAATCTGAGTGTCATCACCTCTTTCGTCTAGAAAAGCTGTTATTTCGGGCAATAATTCTTGAAACCTTTCTAGGAATTTTCCGCGACTCAACCACCTGACGTCCGTGTGAAGAACTAAATCAGTGTGTTCAGCTGACTCCCTATCTTCCAACTGCAACTGAAAGAGCCGCCGTTGCAAGCTACGTGCACGGATGGAATTCACAATTTTTGTTGCAATGCCCATAATTTCCTCCGTGTTTAAAACTTTTGAACACAAAACTTGTTGATGTATAATGCAATGGAATGAAAAAAATGAAGGGAATTCTTCATTAGCTCGACACAATGCCACAAAACCGTTTTTGTTTCCAGTCATTGCTGGTGCTCCATCGGTTGTAATGCACACTAATTTATATATTGGTAGCTCGTAGTTTTTTACAAAATTGAAGAAAACGTCATATATATCTTCGCCACGGGTCTTCCCCTTCAGAGGAATGATTGTCAAAAATTCTTCCTTAGCCAACATGTCATTGAATACCATCCGAATAAAAATACACAGCTGGGCAGTGTCTGTCATATCGGTGGATTCGTCGAACTGTAAAGAAAAGTATGTACATTCCATGATATCATGTTTTAGTTTATCTGCGATGTCCTGACTCATGACTTCAATACGCCTTGTGACAGTCGGACGAGATAACTGAAGTTCTCTAATAGCAGACATGATTTCTGTTTTATTTTTAAAATCTCCAAATAAAGTCTCATCCGCTTCAATAAATGGTTCCTTCACCACCGATCCATCTTCGAATGGTTTCTTGTGTTTCGCCAATATATGAGATATTTTAAATGACGCGATCGTAGCAGCTTTTGATTGTTTGGCTGGTCTTGTGAACATGGATTGTTCTTTTTTCAAACAAGTTATCAAATCACTTACTTTTCGTTTTCTTAATTCACTCTGTGGCGGTGGTCTTAAATTTTTTTCTTCTCGAGATCTACTCAAAAAGCACTCGCGATCGACTGGTCGATCGCGATCGACCGTTTGAGCACCCCTGATCTACACTCTCCGTTGCATCACTCTTGATTCATTCTGCTATATCCAAGCGGACAAGGAAGAGGACGGACTTAAATGAATACTAGACAATAGATCTAAACTCTTTCTAGAAAATATTTACATACAATTCAAACTGAAACCAATATACACATATGCCACAGTATCGTGGGTTTCCATCCGACATACTGGTAAGGTAAGTGAAATTGCCGAAACTACAATTAAACAAGCGGCAGTTGGCTGACGCAAATGATCAGCAGATATACAAAACCATTTAATCAACAGAGATAGCAATGAATAAAATAAAATTAAAAAGTAAATAATAGATCCGCGATAAGAATTTAAAAACAAAATAGGATTTATAAATAATAAAGTAGTATTTATTATTGTTTCGTGAATTTTTTCTATGCTTCAACTAAATCCACATTATCGTAGACTAGAGTTTTGAAAACTGGGAAAAATCTAGTCCCAACAATAATCGCAGAAAACTAGACTGCAAAAATAATCGACCGTATCAAATAAATCCCTACCAAGACATTTCCGTTATTTTCCCATGAAAATCTTTGAAAAAAATCTTTGAACGTATCCTCCTTAAAAGATTAATTCCTATATTTGACTCTGAAAACGTAATTCCTTACCATCAATTTGGGTTTCGACCTTTCCATTCTACTGTTCAGCAGTGCTTCAGAGTAGTCGACACGATATCTTCGGCTCTAGAAAACAAGCCGTATTTCTGGATGTTACGGAAGCATTTGACCAAATCCGTAGCACTCCGGCCTTCTCTATAAGTTAAAATGTATCCTCCCTCATTCCTACTACCTTATCGTGAAATCCTTCCTCTCAGATCGATGGTTTAAAGTAAGAATCGGCACCGAGTTTTCACCTATCACACCAATCAAAGCTGGCGTTCCACAAGGAAGTATCCTAGGCCCAATCCTCT